CAACCATATACAACAACAAAAAAACATACAATCAAAAATCAAATAAAATGAAAGGCAGCAGAAGAAGAATAAATCTTAAAATATCTGCCCAGTTTGTCCCCTAAATAAGTTCAAACAAAAATGACTTACACAAAAAAAAAAACAAAGCTAAATTTAAAACATAAACTCAAACAACAATTCGTATACATTCACAATTATGATTTTGCATATTTCTTCAGAAAATTAACTTGTATCATTCTCTTAAATACATACATATTTATAAAAAAAAATTATTTTAACTTTAAACATCCACCTTTTCTTCATTGGCAGTTTGTGGTCAACGAGGCTCCGGGTCAGGAGCTGGAGATGGAGCTGTTTGACGAGGACACGGATAAAGACGACTTTCTGGGACAGTAAGAAAGTGTCCAGTGTTTTTTTTTATCCTGCAGTTGCACAACAAAGCAAATGTTGAAAGCAAAAAAAAAGTGGTTTAACACCTAAATTATTTTAAATACAAGAAGTTTTTATCATTTATTTTAGWTTTTTTAGCAAATAAAATAAAAAAACTGACATCTTTGTATTAGATATAACCTGGACTTAGGAGAAGTGAAGCGGGAAAAAGAAATAGACACGGTGAGCTGATTTACAGACTATAGTATATTAATGTACATAATGATATATTTAGGAAAACTGTATTAATTTTATGGAATTTTCCAATGATTTTTCRTTGAAGTGGTATCCTCTGGAGGGGGTTCCTCATGGAGAACTGCATCTGAAGCTTCAGTGGCTCGGTCTGAAGGCCGACTCCAGCCTGCTGAAGGAGGTACAGCCAGTTTTATTAACTCCATTAACAAACTGTACAATATTTGCAAATAATTTACACCTCAGTGTTTACTGTACTAACTGCCCAGTACAATATTTATTACACATGTTCATTATGCACACTGCCAGAAATAATTGACTCAATGCACACTCCCTCAGATCATGAGTCTGTCATGACGGTTTTCTTTGTAATTTTACAATAAAGGTTGTTTCTATTCTATTTTATTCTATTCTTTAAAATCAAAGAAAAAAGAAGAAAAACTGAGTTGATGTCATTTGGTGCTGCTTCTCATTTGCAGTGTTGTATAAAGTACCTCAAAGTGATACTTGAGTAAAAGTACAAGTATCTTATCATAAAAATACTTTGGTAAAAGTTATTCTTCTCTAAAGATATTACTTGAGTAAAATCTTAAAGTATCTGATATTTTTTGTACTTATCAAAAGTAAATTCCTGACACAAAATATACTTAAGTATTAAAAGTAAAAGTACTGAGTAAAAGTGAGCAGTTAGATTTTCCAAAATGACATTTATTGGGAGGTGACTTCTCCAAAAATATATTTTCTAACGGCGTGCAGCTGTGATGGGTTGTGTACATGCTAATAGTGTGTCAGAATGGTATATATTTATAC